GTTTTCATCTTTAGGTGAACCTATTATAAAGAGGGCTCGTAAGTCTAACTTCCTCTCACAAAAGAAACTAATGCATACCTTTGGATTCCAGTGCCTTCCCTTACAATGACAGTCAATGCTTCATGTAGATTCTGATGTTTTACACTTATCTGACTAATTTGGAAAGAAAAAAATGATTTACTCCTTCAAATTAAAATGTAGACCAAGTGTTGGCAAGATGGCTCATCGGCAAGAGGCACTTGCTGTCTACCCTGAAGGCCTGGGTTTGATCTGCAGGGGCCTCGATGGTAAAAGGCAAAATGCAACTACTTCAAGTTGACTTCCACAGCTATGTTGTGGAACACAAAATTAATTTAAATTAAATTGAATTTAGAAAATGCTAAACAAAAGAGATAGAAGTCCAGAATAAATATTCTGTGCCCTGTAAAATTTTCTGTACTTGGAAGTTACTTGATTTTTAATAGTATTTTCAAGTTATCCTGCACATAAACAAAAAGAAGAAAGGATTATGGCAATGTTAGGAAAATCTTTTCCAAAATATTTCTCCCTGCTTAATTCCCTGAACAAAGTATCTGTTTCCATCTTTCTGCTTTGTCACAGCTGTGTTGACCCAAGACACCAATCATTCCTCTACCATTTGACACACTTCGAAATTCCCACAGCATTTCCCCAAACAGAAATGACAGCAAACAGTTCATGCCTAGACAGTTTTCTGGCTTATAGAGAGATATCTGAATATATGACATACTAGATTAGAGTGTAGCTCTCTTAGAGGCAGCTGGCCTTTTTAAAGTGTCTTCTAGGTAGCTTGACTTTGGTGGTGGAATGTCCCCCAGAAGTCCTTACAGATTCTGTGTGATTGTGGAGGTAGAGGTTCTTGAGAATCTGTTCAGGTTAAGGGACACCCTGAAGCTACTTTGAACTGTTTAATTCCTGTGCTTAATGAGCTTCCCTGAAGAATGGAATGTTTGACTTCCCTTCAGAACAACCTGTGTCTTAAGAGCTTCCCTCCAAGATGGAAGGTTTTATCTCAGTGAAAATTGCAACATAGCAACTGTATAGTAAGGAAAAAAAAAAAACAGTTAACTACATGGAGACCTAATTTGTGTCTTTTATTTTATAATTAATGTTTTGTTTAGCATAAAAATGAATGGGTTTAATTGTAACATTTTTATACTTATATCATACTTCATTTCTTCATAAATTTTACAAAATTATATTTTGTTTATTTTGTGTACCTATGTATATGTATGTGCATGATGGTCATCACCTGTTTTCCCCATTCTCTCTATCCCCATATTACTGTTCCCAACAGTCCCCACTTCTGTTTTTGTGACTGACATTTTCATGATCTTTTCTTAAAGTGATGAATAATCTGTTATCACAGAGACAATGTGCCATGTCCAAAGGGTCCTCCACCCATCTCCATATATATATATATATATATATATATATATATATATATCCCATTAAATGGACCAAAATTGAATCAAGGTTCAGCTCAACCTGAATGAACTATAGGACAACTTAAAAGTTGTCCTCGTCTTCCAAAAGGAGCCTTTTCCCTTAGCTCTGTCAGAAGGAACATATTGATTTGATTTCCAACTGACATATACCTCTGACACCTATCATCATGTCAAAGTCCATACTAGACTCCAGGCTCCCTCAGCCCTCACAAGTACTTCTAATATATTTCAAAGATCCCTTCCACTTTATAGGTTTCCCTCTTCCAAGATATCCATTCTCCTTATAATCCTTGAGAATTTTTCCCCATCGCCCATTTCACTGCTTTCCCAAGAGACAGCTTAGCAGTTTTCAATAAACTTCCCTGTTCCCTTTGACTGACTGACTATGCTTCTCATATGCATTTGTTGCTAAACTCCAGTACCACAACCTGGAAGTTTCAAGCATACACCAAGATAAAGGTTTTCTCCTATGGTCCTTAATTATACCTCCTGTCCCTAGTCTATATCTGACCCAAAAGATTTCTACTCAACTGAAAAACACCATCTGGTAGTCAAATACAGCCCTGCAAACTGCTCCAAATTGGCCTGGTTTTTACCATCCTCAGGTGGTACTGCAGAACCAGCAAGACCTAGATATGCTAAAAAGTCAATGTGTGATTGACCAACCAGCGGAGCCAGTGTGATTACTCCCTACCTCCTCAGGCTGGATCAGTAAACCAGATTTAGATGCCACTAACAAATGTTTCCTGCCATTGCATGATATGCTTCCATGATCTCCAGCCTTTGACCATCATTCCAGCACCCCTGAATCCTGACAATGACATACTAGTTTCATCTAAGAAGAAGCCACAAAAGAGACTACACTGTCACTTATCATCAACTGTTACTTGTCATCAACCCAAGGTTTCAATGTCAGATTCAAAGAGTACATGAAAGGGGAGGCATTGTGATTCACAAAAAAATTGAGTTTAGGCTCAAGCTGTAGTTTAGGATAATTCCTGATGGCTACACAAAAGCCAGCACTACTCAAGAACTAGAGAAACTAGTTCCCATCTGCCAAAGGGAGTCCCTTACCTGTGGCATAAGGGACATAATGGCTCATTTGACATATACCTGTGGCTGCATATCAAAGCCCATGCTGGCCTCTAGGATCTCTCAGTATCACAACAAATTGTAATACATTTCAAATTCCATACTATCATCTTCTAAGATCCTAGCCTTCTTCTCTTCCATAGGCTTCCTTCCTCCCAGATACAAATATGTTCACTTTATAATGGCAAACTTCCCCTGATACTTACTATTCTTGCTTTCTTTCCCTCTCCCTCTCCCTTTCCCCTCCCGCTCCCCTTCTCTGGCTGTCCTCTTATTCTCCCTCACTCTCTTCCTTACTCTCATTTCTTATCCTGTTCTCTTACTATGGGATCTCTTGATATCTCCACTATTCCCTCTTTCACTTCTGCTTCCCTAAACCTGACCAGATCCACTTTGTTGACCTTTTTACTCTACTTCATTCTCTCTCTCTCTCTCTCTCTCTCTCTCTCTCTCCCTCCCTCTCTCCTCATCTAGATGCCTATTGCTGTTGCCTCTCTATATATTCTATAATAAAAATGTTATCAAGACTTTTAAGAAAGAAACTGAAGGAGATATCAGAAGATTGATATTTTCTGATAAAGCATCTCTCATGCTCATAGATCGGTAGATTAACACAGTAAAAATGGCCACCTTACCAAAAGCAATCTAGAGATTCAACTCAATCCCTGTCAAAATTCCAACACAATTCTTTGCAGACCTTGAGAGAATAACACTCAACTTCCTATGGAAAAAACCAAATCTAACCAACCAAACAAACAAACAACAGAAAAACAAAACTAAACAAGTAAAAACAACAACAAGAAACAGTATGAATAAAACAATTCTATAAAATAAAATAACCCATAGGTATCACCATTCCTGATCTCAAGCTCTACTACAGAGTTATAATTATAAAAATCACATGGTATTGACATTAAAAAAGACAGGTTGATCAAAGGAGTTGAATCTAAAACCCAGATGTAAATTCACAGACCTATGGACACCTTATTTTTGGTAAAAAAAAAAAAAAGGCAGAAATATACAATAGAAAAAAGTATCTTTATAAAATGGTACTAGTCAAATTGGAAATGAGCATGCAAAAGTGCAAATTGATACATATTTATCATCCAGGACAAAACTCAAGTCTAAGTGGATCAAAGACCTCAACATAAAAACAGATATATTGAATCTGATAGAATGGAAAGTAGGAAATAGCCTTGAACTCATTAGCACAGGAGACACTTCCTAAACAGAAAAATTTAAGCGTAGGCACTAAGATCAAGAGTTAATAAATGGGACCTCATGAAACTGGAAAGCTTCTGTAAGGCAAAGAACACCATTGATAGCACAAAATGGCCGGGTGCCAAAATGTAAAAGGAGTTCTTTTTTTTGGGGGGGTGGTTTCTAGACAGGGCTTCTCTGTGGCTTTGGAGGCTGTCCTGGAACTAGCTCTTGTAGACCAGGCTGGTCTCGAACTCACATAGATCTGCCTGCCTCTGCCTCCCGAGTGCTGGGATTAAAGGCATGTGCCACCACTGCCCGGTGTAAAAGGAGTTCTTAATTGGTATAGATAATAAAAATCTGGAGTCATGTATAGATGGGAATGCTGAGAGATCAGAGAAAAGGAGGAAGCCATGACACACCTTACCTCCTGAGCATCTCAGCAGCCAAGAGAGCAACATCCTGGTTCTGCCCAGCTACCTCACTTCCTGTCTGTCTGTACAGACATTCAGACCTCTAGGATTAGCTAGGGGTAAGCTCCAATCTCTGACTCTCAGACAGGCTTTATTTGCACCAAAAAGGTGGTGCAGAAGCTGTGGGAATGATCAACCAATTACTGGTCCAATTTGGGACCCATGCCACAAAAATACTTGATACTGCCTGAAGGATCATGAACTAGAGGCCAGATAGCCCAGAGACCTAGGACAAAACCAAACAGTACTGGCAAAAAGAAAAAAGGCCAAAGTACACCACAAGAACACAGATCAAATAATCAAATAATCAAGAGGGTTCATACACTCTTTTGTACCTTATTATTATTTTGGACTTGCCCTATCCTGCCACATTGTAACAGATCCCCTTTGTTTTTGTAGCATGTGCATTTAGGTGTAAGCTGTGGAGTGCTTTAGATAGTATAGTGGTAAGTAAGCACAGCTCCCCTCCATAGGTATGATTTATGTCATCCATCTTCATAGATATTTAGGTTATTAACTTCTTTCTGTTAATATGCCAAATGAGAGAAGAATTGAAAATAAAGCATTGAAAATGTTTTATATAATTTACCTGAAAAGTACATAGGAATTATGGTAACCAGAATAGCAACCATTATTTGGTAAAATTGCAGATTTCAAGCAGTGGAAGCGTTGAATCAGCATGAGAAACAAAAATAGAGCCAGGGGAGGGATGACTTCTCTTTTTGAAGTTTATCACTAACCAATCACTTTCTCTGCTTCTCACATACAGATACCCCACCACGTGAAGCCCTTGCCGTATTATAGCTATGATCAACCTGTGATTGGGTACTGCCAAGCCCACCAGCCTCTCCACATCAACAAGGCATATGAGGCTGTGTCCATAGACCAGGACGATAGCCCCAGTTTGGAGCTTGGGAGAGACCACAGCTTCATCGCCACCATAGCCAGGTCGGCTGCACCTGCCATTTATCTGGAGAGAATAACTAACTAACAGTAAAGCCAACTCCTTAATGCAGAGCTCACGTGGTGAATGGAGGCCTTCATCGCAAAGAAAATGAGGTGTCCAGCATTCTCCTGCCTCAAGAGTTTATTGCTCCTATAAAGAAGTTTAGAGCATAATGAGAGAAAAAAATAAACAAAAATAAACCCAAACTGATTATGAGGTTGGGCAGCTGGTGAACCTGCCACCAACACGGGAGAACATAAACTTTCTTTGATTTAAAACAAATAACAAACACAAGTACTCCCGGATGTAAATAATCAAGAGTGTTAAGTTCTTATAAAAATAGATTTCACTCTAGCTATCTATAGGTTTGTTTGTATATTTGATTTTTCTACACTGCATGGTTCCTGGGTTGGAGAACCACAGGGGGGAGGGTGGGAATTTTGGGGAAACCATACAGCTTTCCTTGTAAGGTGTGCATAACATTCACAGACCTTGTTTCCAAGGTTTTTATTTTGTTTTCCCTTTAAAATATGGTTTTATTCTTTTGTTCTTTTTCTTCATTTCCTGGTGGAATGACTTTCTACTTCTAAATATGAGTACGTACATGGTATCAAAAGAAGATTTGGTTTTGCACTGATCTAAAGTAAAGAAAATTGACCACAACATCCAAAAATCTACTGGAATGAGTTAAATACATCAAAGTGTACATTCCTTCAGTATACACTACAGATGGTATCAGGAGGTCTGGTTTATTCCTCCATCGGTATCAAGCATGGAAAGAAAACTGATAACCAGACCTGTGAACAACTTGAGTGGAGAAGAACCTGAGAACTAGCCTCGGCAGAGAGAGTGTCTCTGTGAACAATGAACAGAGGTCCCGTGTAAGAAAATGTCAAGGGATAAATTTCTAAACTCAAGATGATGTGTAATGTTGCTTTTAAATTTAATTATCACTTAGCTTTTGTGTAATTTTTATCAATAAAAGAAAAAATGTTGAAAAATAAAATATATAATTTTGTGGTTGATATACCATAACCCATATTCATATGTGTGGAATGTTCCTACCTGGTGTCAGAGTAATGATGCAGGAATCATTGGTTTTCTGTGTGACCATAGTTAGTAGAGAAGTATCAATCATTGTGGAATGAAATGAAACTGAGATAGTAATATGTTTCAAAAATTATTTAGAGGTATGGTTACTCTAAAACATGTCATGTGACATGAGAAAAATGTATCAATGTAAGAATTAAAGACTGAGTGATCTTGTAGCAAAGACAGAACCATGTAGGAATTAGCAACTACACAGCAAAATACATAGCAATCATTTTTAAAATCCTCTTTCATAGGAGATAATGGGGGCTAGAGATATGGCTCAGTAGTTAATAATGTTTGCTGCTTTTGCAGAGGACAAGTGTTTTATTCTCAGAACCTGTATCTGGCTACTCACAGTCATCTATAATTTAGCTGCAAGGGAACTCAACTCTCTTATCTTGTCCAACATAGGCAAGTGCACAGAGATAAACTTGTCAACTCATATACTTCATATACATATACATATACATATACTTATACATATACATATACACATAAAAAGCAAAATAACATCATTCAAATGCTTAATGATGCAGCTATCAGTCAGTCACATGATTTTCTATTTGTCATTAGAGTGCTGGTATAATTGTCAAACTCACTGTGGATACTTCCCTGAGGTAGTCCTTGGTCCAATTTAAGTAGTTTTATTTTTGCAACAAGATAAAGTAATGATGTTGAGAATATTTATTAAGGTAATTTTTACATTTCTTAAAATACCTTATGTAGTATTTGGTAATTATTTCTGTAGATTCCTTAAGAAGTAACAATTTAATTCTAACCTCTGAAATTTACAATAAAAAAGTTTATAAATTATTTTTATTAAAGTTATAAATAACTACTGTAGAAACCGGTCTTTGGGAGACTTAAGTCTGATCCAGCCAACTTTCCCTGTTGGTACCCAAGAAGGAGAATATGGATTGAGGAAATGGCAGATAAAGATACCAAAGAAAAGAGAAACACAGAACAGAGTCAGGAGGGCAATCCAGTGAATACTGAACACCCAAGTTTATTCTTCAATATTCTAATATACCTAAATGAAAAGGAGGGGGGAGGCAAGAAACTTCTTTATTAAGATACAAGGAACAGACTTACTTCCTTAATTTTCCAAGCATTCAGTAGCCTAACCCTCTCCTTCTCTAACCCTGTGGGTGAAAAGCAACCACACTTTAGACCAAGTCTCTTGTTATTTAGATAAGACATCCACACCTAAGACCAAACATCCTACAGTAGCCATGCCTTAGAAGTTTAGGTCTTGACTTTAACCTTGGAAGAGTACAGATTGTTTTGAACTCTCTGACCTTAAACCTGGATGAAGTGAAGCCATTTTTAATGGACCCCAACAAACTATAAAAAAAGCTATCTAAAGTCAGATTGAACATTTTCTTCTCAACATCATTCTAGTCAAGTACCATTCTAACTTAGAACTGAAGTTACCCTCTGTATTAAAGGAGAACATATCATCTGTCATGCTAATAGAAAATTCAATCAGAACAGCTCTTATTTTCACATTTAAAAGAGACATTATTGCCAAATTATTTTAATTTTCTGTTAGCATTTGCCATTTAAATGATATGTATTTTCATATCCGTGACTATAGGAAATGTTGACCATGAGTTTAAAATTTAAGCATACTTCTTTGCTGTAGTGACTTTGCTTTTAGGATTTGGCCAATAAATTTCCCAAATGATTTTTTCAGTGATGAGGATCTTTTCCATTTCTCAAAGTGAGATATCTTCTTTTCTCACAGATATCAATAGGTACAATATTCATGATAATTGATTTTCATCTAAAAATCTTTATCAGTGTTGGCTTTGATCAGTTTATTCTATATCTTACAACCAAAAATATAGCAAATAGATATGATCCCTCCTGCTTTTAGAAATTACTACACTTGGCCAACCATTGCCTAAAGTCAAACATAAATAGTGAGGTGAACTGTTAGGGAAACAGATAGCATGGTGAAAAGGTTGAGCTTATAAACATAAAAACTTCCAAAGAACTTATTTTAATAAGCAATCACTTACATGTGACAGAATAAGTTTACATTGAGTTTTGCAAATGTGTTGAAGCTTAGAGTGGACAGGTAAAGAAAAGAAAAAAAGAAAGCAATTTCACTTCTGTAGTTCTGCAGAAATCCTGAAATTCAAACCTCAGGAATGATATTGCGTAACAGATAGAATACACTTCAAATAAAAGAGATCTTTTTAAAAAGTGATATTTCAACAAAGATAATGAATATCTAACATTAGATTATTGATCCTTTAAGCAACAAAGAAAAAGAAAAATATCTGTGTAGTGAAATCCTATTCAAAGCAAAAAGGATGTGAGGCACCAATAACTCACCATTCAGGCTACATTTTGCCATGTAGATAGCTACACAACCAGAAAAACTTGAATATGCAGCTCACTTTCACTCCATTCCTGGTTCATTCATGTGTGAGCTGTGCAAACTGAATGTCCCATAGAGCTGCACATTCCTCCACCTAGAAGAATAACATGATGAAGAGTGGTGACTCTAGTTAATATAAAGATTTTCCACTGTCTTCTAAGTACCAGGAAGTATGTTGATTATAGTGAGTGTTTGTGTTTGAATGCTAGAAAGCCCTATTGAAGAAAGCCTACTTTTGTTCAGAAATCTTCTTACTATTAACATGACTTCATACTAGATTGTAAATTGCATGTCATAAAGGTCTATTGGCCCCCACTTGAAATCTAATGCTTCTCATGGAATATTCACAGACCAAGGGAACTAAAGTCAGACCTAAAAACAATTTTGAACAAGACACAATACAGCTTGGAACAGTCAGTTTCCCAACCATTATGACTGACCCTTCATAAACATTCTGAGTAAGACTGATCCACATCCACTCATTGCAACAATTAGTAAGTACGTACCTGAGATCAAAACCTTGACTGATGTATGTCTCAGCATGCCTGGCTTTCTCAGCCATTTGAAAGGGTATGCCAGTATTTTACATGTGACATTCAGAGACTTAAAACATAAACAATGAGAACTTTTACTTGAAGGATGCTAGGAAAAAGCCAAGTAGCCAATATATATATATTAGATGGAGGTCTTAGGAAGATGTGGCCAGAGGCATCTCTCTTTGGCCTTCAGCTACACTTTTATCTAATTCTGAGTAGAGAAAATTGCAGGTCTAAATTATTACAAAATAGCTGATATCGTGAAACCACAGAAATGGAAAATATACAGTATAAAAATCCTATTTTTTGCATTTTATGAAAAGTTCATACATATGTAAATAAACAAACATGGAAATTTTATTACCAACTACATAACTTGTTACTCAATAGTTTAACAACATCAACAACAATACCATCACAGAAAGATATCCAGGAATTGTCCTTGCGATGTGATGCTGTGATGAAGAATGTAAATTTGTCATACCAACTTAGAATTTGTTGCCAGTATCACACTTCCAAAGAGATACCTACAATATAATAACCTGAATACATAATATTGTTCAAAGTATAGTACATGTCACTGATCAATGACTGAAAGTTGGGTTTAAGTGAGGCCATAGATGGGATCATCTCCCAACCTATAAACCTAGAGAAGGGCAAACAATCAGCTTCTATCTGCTGTTTAAGCCTTGGGTGATATAAATAATTTGACAATGGAGCATTGAGCTTTTGAACCCAAGACTTTTAGGCCATTTGTTCCTTCTTAAGGTCTCATGCCTAGCCTGTTAGACTCTGAAGTCACATGGGTTTAGAGCACATCCAAAATAAGAGCTGAAGATTATGTTGCCACCTCCCATGTTATATAATCTTAATACAGAGGTGCACATGCAGTAAAACTTCTGAAATTTGAGTTAATTATCATTAAATCTTAACATTTAAACTGAACAAAGTACTCATCAATAGGGAGGAATCTTGTGGCACAAGCACTCCTATATCAAAATTTTCTGCTTCTGATTTTCTCAGGAGTT